TAGTGTTCCAAGTTGCATTTGTAAGTTAGGTGACGCAAGAGCCTCCTCACCGGGAAGTTTTACATTTACCATGTTCACAGAGTTGGTATTTTCCTCCTGACGCTCAAACAATAAAAACTTCCAAAATCCAAATTAAACATCACCGTCACCCACTAAGCTAATCCGCTCTCTCTGCCTTCTAAAGAGGCTCTAGCCAAACGTACAGGCTGTTCCTTTAACGTAGTTCGTTAAATATTTTTATATTTTTCCTAAAAATAATAATATTTTGACACCTGAGGGAGAATCTGCTGATCTGGTAAATTTGGCACACAAAAAACAAACACCAAAACAAACCATAAGCTAGCTCCCAACACACAAAATGAACATGCAAACAACAGAGCCCGTTTTATATGGGTATTTTAGCAGAGGCCACTTTTTAAAGTATTACAAAATCTCTATCCTGTATTCAAGCTATGTGGTACAGTTTAACTTAAAGTTACTTTTAACAGTCACAGATATATTTACAACTGGCTAAAAAACTATTTGCAAAGAAGTGAGAAACCTCTGGCACATCAATGTATCTTCTGAAAAATAAAGGCTACAGAATATTACGCGGCAAGTTTTCATTATGTGAAGGACCAGGGAAAAAATATATTTTTTACCCAATTGTGAATGAGAGTTTATAGTAATTTAACAGCTTAAGGATGCCACAGAATTTTAAAATAGCATATTTCAGAGAGTAAGCAATTTATTTTAGAAGTCTGGGGCTAAAACTTAAGCAAACTTACCATTTACTAAGGAACAGAAGCAGAAAGGTGGTGAGTGAACTAGAAAAATGAAATCATAGGTGCTTAGGTGTGTCTCCCAAAAAGCTGAGTTGTGACACAACTAATTCAAAACTGAAATGAACTAGTACATCTTAAATGGGATTTTCCTTTCTCCAGATCGAAATAAATAGTATTGGGAAGATACGTCATTTTTAACATGTTTCTGTGTGTCACTTTAACATTTGTTTCTTCTTGAGTAGATTAAGAATGAACACATCAAATGTCAGGATTAATATAGTAAAACTTAAAAGAAAATACACATTTAGAGAGTCCTCTAGTGAAGAGACCACATTTTGGGAAGTGTGAATATTCTTTTTTGGATATATGAGTCACATTAAACAAAATATGAAAATAACTGGTTAAATGATAACCTAGTAATTTTTGAAGTTCTGCACCATTAGAGTGTCCACTTCTACACTGGCAATAATTATTATATAACAAGAATCCTAATTTACCTTTAATATAAATTTAGCTCTCTTCAGTCATTTATATAGAACCTCAGGAGAGACTACGAGGACCATAAAGCTCATGGGACAATAATATCAGCTGATGGCAGTTTTCAGGAAACCTCCTCGAAACGATGCACACTTAAAAATTATACCTAGTATCTTTTAAGCCAAGAATTAACTAATATGAAATTTGCCATTAAAGAATGACAGTTTTCTGTGCAAGAAAAAAAAAAAGTGCAGCTGGTACCCCACCCCAACCAAACTACGAAATTCCTTTGTCATCTAAAAATGATCTGAACACCGTTTATAGAGATAACTAAATTGTCCTATATTAACCTATCATACACTATCAGCTGATGTAATTCCTGATTTCAGTATTACATAGTAATTGAAAATGGTCCATTCATGCAAATTATGATAAGACTTTTTACATTTAAACATACAAAAAATTCAAAATAACCTTCAAGGTGTTTAATATTTTACACTTTAAAGGAAAACAAATCCATTATATAAATTTCAGTAAGACCCATGACTACATATAAAAACTGTACAGGGGGGATTGTGGATTGTATAGAAATGAACGGTCCATCAATGGTATCAGTCTTCCTCAACATCAATAATTCCACACCACTATTAACAACATAAATAAAAGTTCAGAAATTATTACATTGTACTTTCTGAAGTTGCTGCATTAAAAAAAAAATTTCTAATATAGCCACGTTTAAACTCAGAAACAAAAGTAATAACCTCTTGTGGCAGTGCCTAACGACACGTGTTAGCCACCCCACTGTGTCCACGGACGTGCTACAACCGCATCAGGGAAACGCCTCTTACGAGGCATTCAGAACTGGTGGATATTCATTCCGCAATCTGAACAAAATAAAAGCAAGTTGTATTCATAATGAGGAGTATACTATACTAACTTAAAAAGGAGACCACATTAATGAGAAAAACGGAGATTCAACTCCTTGAGTAGCTCTATATATTTAAAACACGAAGTCGCCACTGTATCTAAAATTGAGTCTCAAATATGGATAACAAAACTGGCCACAGCTATTTTCTCTCATATAATGCAGCGTTTTAAAAAGTATACAGCTGTTACATTTGTATTAGAAATATAGGCAGATTATCTACTAGCTGAAACCATACAGTATCGTTACTAAGCTGATTGGAAAAAAAAGTACAAAGAAACATACATTTTCATTCATTTGGAAAATGTAAAAATTTATGTACTAATATATAATCTCTTCACTTTTCTGATCTACAAATGGATACAATGCCTAGTTATCTTCATGCAAGTAAGTTGTTCAGAATTCAATTACCAAAGCAAGCAACAAACAAAACACCCAGTCAGTAAATACACAGAGGAAACTCTTTAACCATTTCTATTCTTTAGCAGTCTTTGACGATTTCACAATCTGTAGCTTTAGCTCTTTGATCATCATCTCTAACTTCTGCCTTGCCTCTCGCTCCTGTCTGAGTTCATCCTGGAGCTCTTGCCTATCGGCCTCAGCATGATCCAGTCTCTGTCGCAATTCTGCCAACTGTGTGATGTAAAGGGCTGTGTCAGTTCTCATTCCGTTTTGTTTTTACATTTCATTTTCATATCATGGCAAAGACCTACTTTTAAATTACTTCCTGCAAAATGAACTATTCCCTGCGTACTCCAATGCCTTGCTGACCTAGTACGATCACTTTGATGTTCAACATGATGCTAAACTGAGGGAAAAGCAAAGGATGAAGCAGAATGCACACCTAGAGCACTCCCGTCATCCCCTATCCTGGATAACCCTCCGTCACAGCCCGCTTATGCTAGCTATTTGCTCACCTCTGAATTATAAGCTATTTTCAGTTTTTGTTTTTTGTAGTCAGTCCATGGTGCATGCACTCCCCAGAGAGGAAGGAGACACCCCAATCCCCCCCTCCATCTCTCCCTCTTTTTGGGATTTTGGGTGCGCATGCAGCACCTGGCATGTTCTCGTGCTGCCCGGTCTGGGACTCACACCAGGGTCGGCCAGTGAGATGCAGCTGACTCGCCCCCCCCGCCACTCCACTGGCTGGTCTGTGAGCTACTATTAACAGAAGGGAACTGCTTATTTTTGCTCCAGTACTTTTTAGCATCATGGGCAACGGTTTATGTTTATTAATATATTGATTACAAAATCCATATACTACATTAAAATAAGATCTAATATTATGAGAGCTAGAAATTAGAAATATTGGTAACTAAATTATAGAAACCCAATAAAAGTTCATAGAAAGGTCAAAAAAATCATCTTGGACTATAAATAAAGCATAAAGCTATGTTTCAAAAATATTTATTCTGCAATCTAGCCTAGTAAAATCAGCCTGGCCAAAAGCATCTCCATTTCCACGTTCAAAGAACACCATTACAGAGACAGACATTCTTACCTGAGCTGCATATTCAGCCTCTTTGTCTTTCTCTAGATTGGAATCACAGGTACATTTTTGCTTCATTACCTGTTCCAATTTTTTCTCTAAGTCTTTCTGTTCAACATAAAATTCTTCCATTCTTTGAGCATGTTCATTCTGCAAAGATTCAAGCTCTTTCTGTAAACTCTGCTGCTCTTCAGTGAGCTCCTTCATAGCTTCTGAACTACTCAACATTTCCACTTCCTGTAAAGAATCAATAACGAGGAACCAGCAGTTAGCGTAATGGCTATGTCACTGGACTCCCATGTAGTCGATCGCAGTTCGCGTCCTGGATCCAGTGGCTTAAAACTCACGCCGGGTGTAAGTTTGTGTGCGTGCCCAAGATCCGGAGAGGAGAACAGAGGAGAAGGGATTGCAGCGTGGCCATCCCCCATGGGGGGTGATTTCTCGCTTTCTGTCTCTCTGTCTCTCTCTGTCTGGTGAGCGCACGCGCTCTATAGCAAAAAAAATAAAAAAATAAACTCTCTCTCAAAAAAAAATCAATAACAATTTTACTTTACTTCCGTCACGTTAATTTCAGACAAGGAAAAAAAGAGGTCCCAAATGCAAGTAATCATCTTGAAAATGTGTTTTCTCTGAAACCTTAGAAGTATATGACAATTTTTGATTAGTGTACAAGTCTGCATAAGTTTAAGCACATTTGCATCATCTCATCTTGACTTAAGAACATGCACGACGGACTAGCACTTAGACAACTTTACCATCTGAAGTTGTTGCTTCTTTTGCAGAATCGAGTTCAGTTTCTCCTGCTGTCTTACGTAAGTTCTCACTACTTCTTCCATGATGGTTCCCTTGTCATCCTCACAAATGACGTCTTTGACAAGAAGCGGAGACGGAGCTGCAGCATCTCGGCCAACCCCCACCTTGCCTGTTTCTCTGGCTAAGCTGCCAGTGGTGGATTCAGATTTCTTTTTACTTGTAGGATTACTTGATATTGATGGATCTTTGACAGCAGAAAAAGACAAGTAATAAAATATGAATATCATTCTGTTAAAAAGTTACCAGAACAATTCATAAATGAAATTAAGAAAATGAATACATTTACAAATTTATTATTTTCTTTTTGAAATATTGCCAGAGGGCATGTATGCTTGCCAGAGAAAGACAGAAAGGAGAGGGAGAAAAGCAGCCCCCATGGAGTAGAGTCATGCCTCAGTCCCTTCTCCTCCTTTTCCCATCATGCCAGGATTCAGGGCACCCACGCACAGAAGACTGGCCTACTTCGCAAGCTCCTGAGCCTGGATTCGATTCATGTACTTGGCCATGTGCAGTCTGGCTCCCTTAATCAATGGCCATGAAGCCAACCCTCCATGGACAGATTTAATGAAGAAGAGTACTTAAGAAATAAGTTTAACAAACGTTGTATAAGACATGCACAATGACAACTACAAAATATCGTTGAAAGAAATGAAAAGACCTGGGGCAGCCAGGTTAAAGTGGCTAGATCCCACATGGTCAACTGAGCAGTTCAAGCTCCAGATGCAGGGGCTAGAAAAACATGCCAGGCACATGTATATGCATGTCCAGAATCAAATTAGAAAGCAGAAGAAGGCTCTTTCCCACTATACAAGATGGCAGGTGAAAAAGCTGCAAAGCAGGATCCTAAGGAGAAGAAACCTGAAGCCAAGAAGGTTGATGCTAGTGGCAAGGTTAAAAAAGGTGACCCCAAGGCTACAAAGCCCAAGAAGGGGAAGCCCTATTGCAGCCAAAAACCCGTCCTAGTCCAGGGCATCGGCAAATGCTCCCGATCTGCCATGTATTCCAGGAAAGCCATGTCAAGAGTAAATACTCAGCCACTAAATCCAGGATCGAAAAGAAAGAGAAGATTCTTGCGACTGTCACAAAGCCAGTTGGTGGAGACAAGAATGGTGGTTCCCAGGTGGTTAAACTGTGGAAAATGCCTAGGTATTATCCTACTGAAGATGTGCCTCGAAAGCTGTTGAGCCATGGCAAAAAACCCTTCAGTCAGCATGTGAGAAAGCTGCGAGCTAGCATCACTCCTGGGACCATTCTGATCATTCTCCCTGGACGCCACAGAGCCAAGAGAGTGGTTTTCCTGAATCAGCCGAGCAGTGGCTTGCTACTTATAACTGGACCACTGGTTTTCAATCGAGTTCCACTGCGTAAAATATACCAGAAATTTGACATTGCCACCTCCACAAAAATTGATACTAGCAAAGTAAAAATCCCAAAACACCTTATCAATGCTTACTTCAAGAAAAAGAAACTGCGGAAGCTCAGACACCAGGAAGGTGAGATCTTCAACACAGAGAAGGAGAAATACGAGGTTTCAGAGCAGTGCAAGGTTAACCAGAAAGCTGTGGACTCATACATTTTACCAAAAATCATAGCTGTTCCTCAGCTCCAGGGCAACCTGTGATCCGTGTTTGCCCTTACAGATGGAGTTTGTCCTCACAAATTGGTGTTCTAAATTTTTTGCCAAGAGCCTAATTAAATAACTAATAAAAAAAAAAAAAAAAAAAAAAAAAAAAGGAAAAAAAACACCAAAAAAAAAAAAAAAAAAAGGCAGAAAAAGACCTACTGAAGAAATATGGCAGCAAGGAAAAAGCAGGTAGGAAAAAAAAATTACTTGTAGTATGAAGCTATATGAAAGATAATTTTCAAAAAGTTTAGAGAAAAGCTGAATTAAAGTGTGAGTTGATTTTGGTATAAAAAAATTCTGAAATTCATGAAAATATTTTTCCTAATACGCATTTTCCACGAATTTTCTGCAGATCTTGCGTATACATTCTTCAGAACCTCTTCAGCTATCGCCATTCTAAAAAATGACAGAGTGGCTGGTGGTTGAGGTACTAGACTCCCACAGCTGACTGTGATTTGAGTCCCAGACCTGGCACCTTAGAAGTCATGTCAGGTGTGTGTGTGCCCAAAATCCCAGGAGGGAAATGGAGGAGTAAAGACTGTGGCATGGGCATGGCCATCGCCCCGGGGGGGTGATTTCTCTCTTCCTTCTCACTGTCTGTCTCTGGTGAGCACAAGTGCCCTATGACAAAACCTTTAAAAAAAAAAAAAGAGGAGCTGCCAGTTGGAGTGTTAGTTAAGGGCACTGGCCTCCCACATGACATGTTCAAGTCCTGGACCTGGCAGCATGCTTTCTCACTTTCTCTTACTCTGTCCCTCTTGGGTTGAATTTAAATAAATAAATAAAAGTTAAATATAATTAATTCTTTAAAAAAAAAAAAAGGATAGTAAGAGATTCAAAAAAAGTACCAGAATTTTTTTTTTTTTGGAGAGATTTTCACTGTAGGGCGCGTGCGCTCGCCAGACAGACAGAGAGAGACATAGAGACAGAAAGCGAGAAATCACCCCCCAGGGGGGATGGTCACGCCGCAATCCCTTCTCCTCCATTCTCCTCTCGGGATCTTGGGCACGCACGCACACGTGCCCGGCGTGAGTTTTAAGCCACCGGGTCCAGGACACGAACCGCGGTCGACTACGTGGGAGTCCAGCGACATAGCCATTACGCTAACTGCTGGTTCCCTAAAAAGTACCAGAATTTTGAAAGGTGGCATTTTTTTAGGTAAAAGCTTAAAACTATCTGAAAAATTAGTGTAAAGAGAAATTTTCTTTAAGACACTTAATAAATGGCTTTGTTAGATACTTGAGTATTTTAAATATTTCCCCAAATACTTACCTAAATGGCTATATAATTCTTTACTTGTTTTTAAGTCCATTTTTTCCTGTTCTTCAAGTGAGACATCTGGGTAAGATACTGCTTTTTGATGTTTAGCACTACCGTGAGGCTTGTCTGCCTGTCTTAATGTGGATTTACTTGCCTCCGTCTTTGCGACCTCTTTAGACTGTGCTACAGCAGAAGGAAGGGACACATTTGGAGCAACCACTTTATCACACATGTATAAGTAGTAGCTGAAAACAAAGAAAAACAAAATAAGACATATATTAATTATATTTAGGTAAAAAAATCAAAACATGTAATATGTATGTCTATAATTATACTTAATTATTTAACAAAACATAACAAAACAACTCAGAAAATCACAGAATCTTCTTCTAGAAATATTTGTTTTTCTTCAATTTGACCAGACAGAGAGAGTAAGAAAGCAAGTTGCCAGGTCCAGGACTCAAATCGTGGTCAGTCATGTGGAAGCCCAGTCCTCTAACCACCATACACCTGCTGGCCCCCTTTTCTTAGAAATTCTTAGAAAAGCTCAGCATGTTAGGCATTTAGAACAAGATTATGAGGAATTAGGCCAGCACCGGCACTGGACCCACGACCAGCTGAGCAGCTCAAGTTGCAGACCCACAGGCTTGAGATACATGCCAGGCGCGTGTGCATTTCCAAAACCCTGAGAGGGAAATGGAGGAGGAGGAGTTATAGTGAGGCCACCCCCCCGGGTGGTGATTTCTCATTTTTCTTCTTTCTCTACCTCTCTCTCTCGGGCAAGCCCACATGTCCTATAGCAAAACTTTTTTAAAAAGAAAAGAAAATGTTTTGAGGAATTACTGTTATTTAGATGCAATTTCTAAGTACCAAAAAGTTACTGGGAAAGAAAATCAGTGTTGTCTTTCTTTGAAACTCCCCATGAACTAAAAGCATGAGCACTTTGACAGCTCGTTGACAGCCCCGTAGCAGAGGTTCATCCCAGAGAGAACCACCGGTGTGCTGCTCTGGAGGCCCGTCTCTGCTACCCTCCCCGCAAGCACAGTCCCTGCCTCGCGGTATTTATCCCTTCTGTCTTTACTTTGTACAGCTTATTATTTTTGTTTTCTTGCATAAAAACATATGAAAATATTTGAAGATGATGGCTCCATGGCGTTTGATACCAAGTGTACCCATTCTGCCTCTGAGCTCTGTCCCAATTTTGCTCCGAGATCACATAAAATTGCTCAGTAAATCATCCAAGAGGCTCATGGAACAAACTGGAGCTACATGCTCAAGGACTCTCTTCTTCCCTCCCTCACTGCGGAGCATACATAACCTATAGGAAAATTTTAAAATATTAATAATAATAAATTAAATGATTTTTTTTTGCAAATAATGACATTTTAATGAAATTTACATTAGTTCAGAAAAATCTGGATGCATTCTAAGTCTGGGTTTCAAGATAAAGAATGGGCTTCCTTATCATAATAAAGGAGGGCAGGGAGTGGGGAGGGTGCAGTGCCGCACAGGGGGAGGACAGTCAATGGGCAGGATGGGAAACCCACACTTGGGATGGAAATTTCTGTTTAGTGGGATCCTAGAAATAGGTTGAAGTGAACCTTCGTTAATCACCATATTCTGGGTGCAACTGGATTTCTTACAGAAGTTGGTGAAATGGTTGAATTCTTAATTAAGGTTGAACAGAGGTTAAAAAAAATGAAACCCGCCCTAAGTGGTATGCTGTTAACAGAAATATAGTTCAATTACAGGAGAGGAACTAACTTAAACTGCAGTAACACTTCTGAGAGTCCTCTCTCCTCTGTTCCTTTTGGTAGCACTCTGTCTCCTATCCTGTGACTGCTAAGACACCATTCTCTCTCTTACTCTTCAACCCCAGTAAACTCCCAGTCCATCCCAGTCCCCAAACCAGCAGCTTTAAAACTCACTGCGGGCATTTGTGTGTGCATGCCCAAAATCCTGAGAGATGGAAGTGAAGGGGTTGTGACATAGACAGATCCCCTAGGGGTGATTTCTCTCTCTCTCTCTCTCTCTCTCTCTCTCTCTCTGTGTGTGTGTGTGTGTGTATGTGTGTGTGCGCGCGCACGTGTGTGTGTGTGCGTGTGTGTGTTCCAGCCAGTGCACATGCCCTACAGCAAACATCTCTCTAAAAAAATTAAAATTAAAAAAAAAAACAAGCCTATTCCTAGACTATCTGGCATACAGCAGATAAATGAATACATAAATAGCCACATACCTGGGGTGTAAAAATGAATGTGTCTGAGAACCAGGGTCGCCTTCCTGCTTTATAACAGGATACCAAGGCTGTAATTCCATTCCTGATGGTGCATCTGTCTGTAGAAAAATGTGGACAGGAAGAAGTTGATTGAGGGAAAAATGTAATGGTTAATTTTATGTATCAACTTGACATGGCCACTAGATAAAAAAAAAGGCTTCATTATTTAAGAGCTGGGCTCTAATAAGGCAGTCAACCTCAAGTATCATGTCTGTGCACTGAAACTCACAAAGCCTGCTACCCAAACCACTCAAGAACAGTTCTAAAAAGGATCACCAGAAATCATTCCACCCATTTCGTACTTACAGGTTAAGTAACAGTACCCTTCAAATGCCTGCCTCGGCCTCTACTTGCTGCTTCAGTCAGCTGGAGTATACCCTACTCCCACGGAGTCTGTTAACAGACTAACTAGGTAACATGCCGGAGCAATAACTGCTTTGCCAAATTAAACTTGAACCTCTGTCGGCACGATCAGTGAGCAGTATTTTCTTGGAAATGTGAAAAGCTTTGTTAGCACCGTAGGATGCACTATACCTGTAAGAAAGGAAAAGGAGGAAAAGCGGCCAGCAACACAGGGACCACCTGGGCTGAGGCTGGGAACAGGGCAGGCTCGAAGACGGTCAGAAAGGAGCGCTGAATTTTCTGAACCCCACTTCTGAGAGGCTACTATCCCTCCTGCGACTAGGCAAGGTGCCAGGGGCAAAGATGGCCTCATTCAAAGGGGAGTAAACACGGGCTGGGAGAGCCGCTGGCCGGGATGCTGGGAACACTGCGGGCCAGCCGGCCCAACACTTGGTTTAACACAAGAGACTAAGGAAAGGCCGCAGCCTCTCAGGTTGAACAGCTGTGACCGAAGCAGATCCACCCTAAACTGCCCATGGCTTGATTACAGAGCTCTCACTAACAGGGGTAAACCCACAAAGCGGAAGAGACCTGACAGGTAACCCACTGCCCCCTATAAAACAGGCTGAGAACAGAAAAGGAATTCCTTAGCGCACTGGAGTCCTACGTGGTCAACCATGGTTCGAGTCCCAGACCTGGAGGCCTGCTTTCCTGCTTTCCCTTTCTCTCCCTCTGTCTCTCTGGTCAAACTAAACAAATAATGATGATAATAAAGGAAATAATTTAAAATAATTATTGGGCAGGGCCAACTCCTGGTGTGGGGCTGAGATGGCTGGATCCCATGTGGTCGACTACAGATGGGAGTCAGGATGGGTAGCTGCTCAACACACACGCTGGGCGTGTGTGCAGGCACGCCCGAGAATCACGGAAGGAGCGGTGGGAGGGGGTGCGGCACGGCATCTCCCATGGGGATGCTCTCACGTTCTCCCTCCGTCTCCGTTCCTTGCAAGTGCATGCACCCGCTAGCAAAGTTAAGTTTTTTAAAACAACTTAAAAACAAACTCATTGGGCAAAAAATATAACAGACTAGTAAGATCACAAAATTACAGGGAAAAGAATAATATTTTACAAGGATTGTAAGGGCTAAATATTCAGTGAGGGTCTCTAAGACTACATGCAAAATTTTTTAAAATTCTGAACAAATAGTCTAAAGATTCTAACATATCTTACAATTTTGATCTAATATTCAGAATCTGCACATAATCAACTGCTCATTTATTTTAAAAAACCAATCACTTCTTACATAGCTTCTTAGCGACTGCTTAGTTCTAGTAGTAAATTATACGGGAACTAACTTCTAGCAACAGAAATGCTAAATGACAGCTGCTGGCTGACAGGTGACAGCTTACAGAGAGAGAATTATAAGACAGCAAACACAAAACTGCTTCAAAAAGCAAGACGACAGAAGGGCTTTAGCATAGGCCAGAACAAATCATTTACAGGCTCTCAACTGCCCCCTAGCCCCAACTCAACAGAGTAAGGAGGACTGTTTAAGGCTTACTACTGAGTCAACATGACAGTTAAATTACGGCCTCTATACCGCTTCGATTCAAAATTACAATATTTTAGAATTTACTGAAAAAGATGAAGTTTTAAGAAAATTAAGTGCTTAAAAGAGTCGCATAAAGGGCAGAACATTCTGTACCCCAACCGTATGTGACAAAGGTGTTAGTCAGTGGGCCCACCACGGTGGTGCCAAAGTAACCGAGAACACAAAAGCCCTACAAGAACAGAAGTCGTGTGGCTGGCCTAGGTCAGATCCCAGGTAGGCCTGAAAAACAGGCCCAGGGGACTGGAGGGCTGGAAAATGGGGTCACATGGTGAAAAGACCCTACTGAGGTTTTCTCTCTCTCATTAAAAAAAAAAAAAAGTATAATGAACATGGGTAAGTTCACTAACAAATGAGCAAATTCTAAGATCGCCTTGAATTAAATGAGACTCTTGTCTACAAGTCATTTGTTAAACTAATGATTTAGAAAAGTAAGAAAATTCCTGTTTGTAAATTTTGTTTTATTTACATTTACTAGGAAAATTCCTCTTTAAATCAGTCCAATGTCTGAAACATTTCTAGATGCACTGCTCAGGAAATAAACTGTTATCAGAGTTTTAAAATTACTAAAATAGATTTACCTATTTAAAGGTTTTCCATAATTAAGATACTGGAATCTCAAAATCTTCAGAATAGCAAGGAGATCCTAAAGTTCTTCAAAGGCCTTAAAATTGGACTAAATTCTGATCATTAAGTTAATTTCAAAACTCTGTAATTTGGCTTGCATGACAAAGTTTTCTTTTCCATTCATGATCTAAAACAGCATTTCTTTATTACAATGTCATTTCTACATGTCAGGTAATACTTAAAAAAAAAAAAACCCTAACTTGTTCATTTATTTTTAAGCGTTCATACCTCTTAGTTCCTATTCTTCATTTTCTGTTCTCCCACCAACTCAGTAACAGAGTTACAGATGAGGGGTTCTAAGGAATCTTCCTTAAAGATCATCTAATACAGTGCCCTAGCCAATGTCGGGATTTTCTATTCAAAATCCCTGATAAGTGGCTATCCAGCAGGCCTCTGCCTCAACAGCGGATGAGGTCAAGCATGTTTACTTTCAGTGCCTAGCACCATGCTTAGCATACAGCAGGGACTCAATAAATATTTGTTGAATCAATTCTGAAAGACAGCACAGCTTATTAATTCCCAGGGTAGCCTTTTACATGGTCACTCTGCTACCACAACACTCACTAAGACACTTTCTCTTTAACATTTAATAGCCTACTCCATCATACACCAAACCCAGCAGTCTGTTATCAGATACACAAATTAAATAATACAATGATGGGGAAAGACACGACATTAACCATGATAAAATGCTGGAAGTTAATTTTATCCAATACGCTGTGGTAAGCCATAAACACATCTACAACAAATTATCCTAAATGCACATTAAAAACAATTAAGAAAAGCCCAATGTTTATTAAACAAAACATTCACAGACATGCCAGATTTTCTCATTTATTCTGCATTTGTGTCAACATACAAATTAGGTTTTCAAAAAAAGAACAATTTAATTAAATGGCACAGCAGTAATGCTACTGATCAGGAATAAAAACTAGATAGCAAGTACGAACATCTCCTGCCTTTTAGCTTACCTTTCAGCATGGGAGTAATTTACTCTTTTGTGTATTTAAACATAAAGTAAAATACATTATACTTAGCAAAAGAGAAAACTAGATCATTTAGGAGCTTAAGGTAGAACCTTTACATGTTAAAAATGCTTTTATTGCCCATTTCTCCACTGGTATCCACCCTAAGAGGAACAGATGGCATTTTCATCTTGAACACATAAGCAACATTTCAGATATATTATTTTCACTCCAAAGGTTCTAAGTCAAAAACTTCCAAATAATGTCTATGTAAACAAAAGTTTAACAGTCCCAAAATGTATACTGAAAGAGTTCATTTACAATCATTAAAAATCAGGAAACATTTTAGAAAACTTTATCTAGATTTCTATACATTAGTTAGTTTTTTGTTTTTGTTTGTTGTTTTTTTCGGGGGGTGTACATGACCCTCTGACAATCAGATTTCCTAATAAAGAACCACTACATCTTGGTGATACGATGGCAAATAATTTAGAGATCTTGATTTGACTTAAAATTTTTTTTAATTTGTCACCACTTTTTAATTTTGTTACAGGACATGTGTTGGGGAAGCAAGAGGGAATGAATAAAACACCCCCCATGGGAAGGGTCACTTCACAATCATTTCTCCTCCTTTCGGGGCTTTGGGTATGCACACACACCTGGCATGTTTTTCAAGCCACTGGGTCCAGGACTCGAACCAAGTCATCAGCCATGTGAGAAGCATCCAGCTGCCTTAACCACCATGCCACAGGCTAGCCCTGTCACCACTTTCTAAGTACAAAAGTAAATCCACTTCCCCACTGCTATTCACACACAAATATTTCAGTTTGTACTAAAAAAATAAATACATGAACTTTAAAAATTCCAAGACTTGTTTTCAATAAACTTTGCTTTTATATGGCACTCTAGTTTTTAATTAAGCAGCATGTTAATATAATGATCTTTAATTAAGTTCTAATGACAAACATTAATGAACTAAATAAACCAAGAGAATGCCTCAAAATACTGGTAGAATTTCCAAAATCCAAACAAAAACTAAAAGTAAGACTTTTTAAAAATGTATAGGGCTCCACATGGCTGAATTGCATAGTTTGAGTGCTAGATCCAGCACCTTGAGAAAAATGCCAGGCTCATGGACACACTTGCCTCCAATTCTGAAAGGACAGAGAAATGGGGCCGAAGAGACTGGGGCATGCCCACTCCTCATGGGGTGGGGGGGGAATATCACTTTCTCCCTCACACTCTCCCTCCCTGAGCACATGCACCCTCCAGCAAATTAAAAATAAATAAATAATGTTTAAATGCCGAAAAAAAAATTTAAAATAGAATTTAAAACTTGCTAGAAATAACAAGGATTAATTTTAAAATTTTTGTGTTCATGAAACAATAAACAGTAGTGAATTGGGAAGTTCCTAATGACATGTCTCCAGAGGACATGAAATATAATGAATACCGGGACCAGCAGATGGAGTAATGGATATGTTGCTGGACTCCCATGTAGTCGACTGGTTTGAGT